AAAATGTTTGATCTATCGGATACTTCTTCCAGCTGTTCTCTGCTTTATCTAGGAAAGGGCAAAACGGATCACTTTGTAACAAAGAGTCCTAAGAGATACCAAATTCGACTAAAATTGATTTTACTTCTTGGGAGCTCTCCAGGTTATAGTCCATAAATACTAATATGTTAATATCAGTTTCACCCATAAATGATCTCATTGGATCTCTTGTCTCTTTTCCTGGAAATAGATTGCAGGCAGTAATATACTGTCTCTTGAACCAACAGGATGTAAATATCATTGGCTTATAATTTTTAGTGCGTAAGGGGAGAATGGTGAAGAAGTGGACTGGAATGGCTCTGCTGGGGATTGGTAGTACAGATGACAGGTGCACTGGCCTATAGTGGGACTGACCTTTTTTCCTTTCATGTCCTTTTTCCCCTCTGGAACTCACTGGAGAATCATTTACATGTTATATGTCATCTACATTTATCTCATTTCAAACTGTTCATCCTTTTGTGGAATTATTTGTGCCCCTGAATGTGTGTTATGTACCATCTGATCATCGTTATAAAAGAAAATTAAAGTTAAATTGTGATACCATTTAGTGTATGAGAGATGATAAGGTAGCAAGTAGAAAGCAGGAAAATGTATATAACTTTGGAAGGAGTTCTGTATAATATATTTATGAAAGGTGGAACAATTAATTTCTTTCTATTAATGTATATTTTTTTAAATTTAGGGATAGAAGGACAGTCTGTGGAAGTTTCCAATATTGTGGACATCCGAAAAGAATATAATCGTGAGATTGCAATGAGAATTTCTTCTGATATAAAAAATGAAAATAGATTTTATACTGACCTAAATGGATACCAGGTAATTTTCCTTTAAAATGTCTAAGTAACAGTTGTATTAGTATATAATTTTGATGTATGATAATGGGCCAGTTAATTTTGGATCCTTTGAAAAAATATATCTAAAGTTGCAAATTATTCCTAAAATAAAATTAAATTTTAACAGACAATTGCAGGTTCTATATTCAGTCTAATATACAAAGTTAGAACAAATATTTGAAAGACCATTTTTTAGAACATCTATTTGTAAGGATTTACTTGTTGAAAGAGAGATTTGGTGAACAGCATGTATGTTAAATACCTTGATGCAAAAATGTATGTATATAAGTTTTTATATACCAGAAAGGAAACATAATTAGGGACTGATGGATTATATTTCTTATTCTGCTCATGAGGAATTGGTCTATACATATTTAGTTTATCCCTTATATATTTTTAAATGTGTTGATCTAATAATAGGCTCTTTTAAATTTCAGGAAAACTCTTCCCCTTTCTTTGTTGACATGTATGTGTGTACATTTATATACATACACACATATATATACATATATTACATAGACACATATTTATTTATAAATGTGGGAAGATATGTATTTAATCAAAATTTTCATGAAATAGTCTTAAATAGTAGTAAGAAAATTGATTCATATTTTTTCAGATTCTCAATTCTTCACTATTAAGAGCTCATTTGATAACTAGATCTCTGCTTTCTATATGTGTGGGACACCACATCTTTGAAATAATACTATTAAAAACATGAACATATTTTTAAAACATTAGCATTTTAGAAATTTCTGGCTATGAATAGAAATAATTTCACAATAAATGCTTTTACTTTGTCACATTGTCAACTAGGAATGAGTGAAAAAGATTGTGATCATTTTCTCTTCTGATATCCTGAAAAAGTTAAATTTAAACCTTTTCTAAAGCATAGGAGTCACAATGTACACTCTGAATTAACATGTTAATTCTACTAGAGCCGTTTGGTTGTCAAATGAAATCTTGACTTTATGGTGATTCATTTTCCTTGTATACAAAGGAAAGGTTTTTCTTAAAATCTTACAGAAGTAATTATTTGTACGTGTGGGTGTACACATGAATCAGAAGACTTAGTAAAAATGAATAACCAAAAAATGTGAATTTTCTTTTTGAGGATCAAACATTAGAATAAAAAGGAAAATATTATTTTCAGGTCTATAATCTAAATTTTTTTTTAAAATAGGCCATTTTTTAAGCTTTGGAAATAGTAGTACTTGGGCAAAACTAGAAATCTGGCTCTACAGGTGGTGAGTTGGGGGGTAGCAACAACACAGTTGTAGAAGTTTTAAGTGTCTTTTTTATAAGCTTAAATATACCAATTAATTGGAGTGGGAAGATGAGGATTAGAGAGAAGGAATGGAGAATTCTTTTAATGTAGATTTTAGTGGGTTTTTTTTTTTTAACATTTTACAGTTGTTTTTTCATCAGTTTATTTTCTAGGGCTGCCATAGAAATTACCACCATCTGAATGGCTTAAAGCAACAAAAAATTATCCTTTCACGGTTCTGGAGGCTGGGTGTCTAAAATCAAAATGTCAGCAGGGCCTTACTCCCTCCAAAGACTCTTGGGAAGCATCCTTCCTTGCCTTCTCCCAGCTTCTTGTGGCTGCCGACAAACCTTGGCATTCTTTGGTTTGTGGACGCATCACTCCAGTGTCTGCCTCTGTTGTCACTGAGTGTTCTCTCTCTGTCTCTGTATGTGTCTCTCTTTGTCCACATTTTCCTCTTCTTACAAAGACACCAGTCACGTGGTTAAGGCCAACCCTAATCCAGTACGACCTCATCCATGTTTGCATAGACTCTATTTCAAAATAAGATCACATTCCCAGGCTGTGGGTGGACTTGAATTTGGGGAGGTGGGTAGATTATTCAACCTAGTACAACCAGTGAAATTGAGTCATATTGCAGTGTTGTTGAGAAGATTAAAAATCAGATTTGCAAAATACTCAGGATCACACCTTTTGTTAACGGGCACTCAATACATGTTAACTATTATGTTGTTTTTGTACCTCTCCTTTTCTTAAGTTTCATGTCAAACTTTTATGAGTTTAAGCGAGGAGATGGCATTTTTATGTGATGTGATTAAGATGCACTGGTAGCAGGGTCCTGAGGCTAGAGTCAGTCGCTGTGACCCAGACTGGCTTTGGGGTTACCAACAGTCTCTCCAAAAATAAAGTTACAGTTAATTCAGGTACTAAGCCACAAGAAATTGGAATTTAGAACTATCTACATTGAAACTGATCAAGAAGAGTAAGCATTGAATGGTTTTAAATAATATGCATTTTATTATAATGTAATATGGTAGAGGATTTGGTGGGGAAATCTGTGGTATTTATTAAAACGGATTCAAGAATAAGAGATATTTCTTGAAAGAGGATAGAAAGCTATTATGCTTAGCATTCATTACAAAAGCAGTGTGTTAGATTTAGATGAGAAATGAATACTTAATACCTTTATAATTTGTTTTATGCAAATATTGGAGAGCTAGAAGACTTTTGTTAAGCATTTTTACTCTGAATTTAAATAGAAATGCCTATTTTTAAAATCTGGACAAGTTCTGCCTTTCCCACTTAAGAATTATCTTCCAAGATCCTGGTGGTTTTTCTTTATATTGTTATAAAGAATGTTTTAATTTTTAAATTATTTCTTCCCTTGAACAAAAAGGAAGAAGCTGTCTTTTTCTCTTTGGAAGAAAAGTCATCTGTACTAACGCTGATTTTTAAAAGTACATACATAAATATCACTTTTTTTTTTTTAAAGATGATTGTTTGGTTTTATAGATTCAACCTAGAATGACAATGAAAAAATTGCCTCTTCAAGCAAATGTCTATCCAATGACCACGATGGCATATATCCAGGATGCTGAGTGCCGCTTGACACTACTGTCTGCTCAGTCCCTAGGGGTTTCCAGTTTGAAAAGTGGTATGTGTTGTTTAAATTCTTTTTTGCTCTGAAAGGATTCAGTTCCAAGTGTATCATTTTCTGCTGGTCCAATGTATTAATAATTGTCATCTCCAATTAAAACCTCCCTGTCTTCTTTCTAGCTTTTTTCTCTCATGGACCAGACTATTAGTTGATTTTGGGTTTTGTGAGAACAACATAAAATGATGAATGTCCTCAATCTTCAGATGAAGAACCAGAGACCTAAACTCATGCCATGTTTTAAAGATAATTTGTTTCTCTTGATAACCTGTTGTTTGCAGAGAGTCTTGTGCTCATTGTGATTTAATGGGTATGGAAACTCAGACACTGAAAATTTAGATAAGTTGCCTAAGTTTGCAAAGGTGGGAATTTAGAGTTCAAACTTAAGTCCTTCTCTCAATCATAGTCTTCCACCCCACTACCACTTGAAAGAGGAAAGGGAGTAGAAATGCTGGAGGTACAGCTTCAGGGATTCCAAAAGAGAGAAAGTGATGAAGATAAAGTGAGAGAAAACACACAGTAGATACTGATTAATTTTTGCAAAACTTTCTATCGAAAGACTCTAATCCTCTATAATCCATATTTTTAATTGGTTATCACACATGTTATCAATTGCTTTTCTTTCTTACGTGATACGAGTTGCTAATGATAAATGTCTGAAGGAGCCAAGCAGGTGATAAATGAGTGCAAATGCCTGGTGTGTCCTTTGGCATAAACCTACTTTTTATATTAGGCATATACATGCATTCTGTACTTCCACACACAAAAAAAAATTGCTGCGCCTCATTTTTCTTTGTAACCTAAATTAAACAAAATCATGTGAACTCATGCCATAAAGACATGAATTCAGTTATGAAAATACTATGGCTTCACATCAGAGATCCTTAGGACGTGGAAGAGACTTGAACAAACTGGAAAACATGTTCCCCTTATATATGTTCCCCCATACAGGGCTAAATCTTTCAATTTTTGAAGAAGAATCCCAAATATGTCAGTGTCCACAATCCAATATGTCAGTGTCGACATTTTTTTTAAAAAACACTGTGTAGACAAAACAGAACATCTTTGGGTCATGCATGACTCTTGAGCCACCCATTTTTAAATCCTCCCTTAAATTCTCAAAACTATGCTCTAAATAGGGGAATAGACATGAGGACTCAAGCAGTGATGAACCAACCAGTATTATCTCACTTCCCGAAAAAGATGAGCTGAGAAATAAAGCTCCTTTGCTGCTTCTGTAGACACCCAAGTACCGTGGTATTTGAATCAAAACAATTTGAGTATAATCCAGATTACTAAGTGTCACATGCTATATGGACTAACATTTGGAGGCAGGAGAAGAGTTAAAAATTGCCAAGGAGGTAGATGTGCTAATTTGAGTGTGGAAGGGACAAGCTGTGGATCTCAGGCATGGGATCCATTAGACCCTGTCCTTGGGGAGCAAGTCCTAGACACTTTCCTTCTCAATTATGAAGGTAGGGACAATGAGAATGCTACTCATCACTGGTAATCTGATGTACTAGATGCCTAAACTGAGAAGAAAGAAGCAAAACAGAGTTGGTTTGACTATGTAAGAATAACAGTTGTTAAAATCTTTTATGTTAGCTATTTCCCTTTTGTGCCAAATGATCAGTTAGTACAGCGATGGATATAAGTGAATATGCATGCATTTTTAAAATAAAGATAGCATTAGCTTTGTAAGTCTTATTTGAGTATACTCTTAAATGTATAGATATGGCTCTTTTTTTCCTTATTTATTTTTTATTTTTTAATCTCATAACCTAATCATTAGCTTGTATTTTAAACTAGGGAAGATGTAGAATTACTGCATAGCAAATGAAGGAACCAAATATGAACAAGCCATCAGAGGCAGGACAGTGGTGGTGCCACCAACACAATATCAGAAAAGAAAGGGAGTAAATGGGGGTATCTCTGTTATTCTAGGGCATCTTCAGAGAATTGCCACATATCAAATAATCTAAGTTTTATTTGCAAATCTTTTATAGATCCTACGCATCTGTATGTATCTTGTTACCCCATGTATGATAAGCACTTCCTAATAAACCTCACCAGCATTTCCAAATTCAAAATGCTGCCACTAAATATTTAGAAGAACTTCTTTGTCAGGTTAATTTTTTTGAAAAAAGTTCCAGTTAAATTTTGATCTGCCCTGTCCTACTTTAAAGTTTTTACCAGATATTGCTAAACATTAATGAAGAAAAGCACAAATGCTGTCCTGTTTTATGAACTTATAGTAGCTGCTTTGAGCTATTATCCAGAGAAAGCCCACGGCATAGTGGGTTGTATAGATCCATCTCCTTGACTAGAGGGGAAATTTAAAGCTAGACATGATTACCATCCACTTAAGTGATCCTCCATGAATATCTGTATTAAATAACCGAATATCTGTATTAAATAACCCTGGTCAGTTTTGCTTGTTTGTTTGTTTGTTTGTTAGGTCAGATTGAAGTTATCATGGATCGAAGACTCATGCAAGATGATAATCGTGGCCTTGGGCAAGGTGTCTATGATAACAAGATTACAGCTAATCTATTTCGAATACTACTAGAAAAAAGAAGTGCCGTTAATTTGGTAGGAAAAAATAACAAGCATGTTCTGATGTTGATTGTTCTTTCTCATCCAAAATTTGAAATTATGACTTTCCACTTCTTACGTGTTTTTTTTTTTTTAATAATTTCCAGCATTGATATTTCTTTCTAATAGATTTAGCCTACATTCACAGAATGAGAACTTCAGCTATTTATAAGTATCATGCAAGATTTCCATTTAGGTTATTTTGTTTTTTATTTTGCTTATCATGTAGACAAAAAAATAAAAAATAATGTCAAGAAATCAGTTTAGGTGCAATTTCCTAAAATTGTTTTGCAAGAAATAAGAATTTAAAAAATGAGCTAAAACCTAAAGCATAGAATTTAGTCACATAAAGAATAGAGTTTAGTCACGTACTTAAGAAGTTTAGTAGTAGAATTTCTTTGAAACCTTAGCGTATTTTTTCCAGTCTTCAATTCATCACCTGAAAATGGATTTACTTGTCTTGTCTTTCATGTTTGATTTTCATTCCTCAGAGCAAAAATCCAGCAGTCTGTGTTAAACAGTCTGGCAAAAGCCCAGCTGGACCTGAAGGACACGGTGCTTATTTGGGCGACAGCAAAGTTATCCTGGGAGTTCTCTGTCAAGTAGTGAGCACCCACCTTTGAGCCCCCTGGACATGGCCCTTTTTCTCTTTACTCCATTTTCCTTCTTCACTCATCATTTCAAGTCTCTTCTACTCTTTCCAGCCAGTGATGTCACCTTCCCCGTTGCAGTGAGAACAGCCATTAGAGCTCTCTGTTCCAGGTACCAAACACCTGCTCCCACCCTGCCCTTCTTCCCTCCTGCTACGTGGGAAATGCCGACCTTCCTTCATCTAGGCCCGTCTTGCCACTTGTCCTTGGAACTCATTTATGTTCCTCAGGATCCTTTTACCATGCATCCTCTCTTCTCTTCCCTTCATTGCCAGCCCTTCCCCAGGAAATCCTTTCTGTTGGCTTTTGAGCACTGTTTTTTTTTCCTGCTAAAATAAAAACAGAAGCAGCCCTCCCTCAGACTCTCATTCCCATCCCCACTGTGCCACTGTCCTCTCTCTCCAACCCAGTCGAACCAGGGTTTATGAGGCGAGTTCAACTTACCGCTTCCTTCTCACACTCAATTTGTTATCTGGCTTCTGCCTCCAGCGTACTCTGAGAGAGCTCTTGTCGTGTCGTCGCTAGATCCAGTGGATGTTTTCTGTCATCATCTTACTTCACCTGTCAGCAGCAGCATTTGACACCAACCATTGTCGCCTCTTAAAATACTGCCTCGCCTGGGCTTCCCTGGTGCCATGCTTGCTTGGTTTTCCTCCTACCTCTCAGCAGGCAGTTCTTTCTCTGTCTCTCTGTTAGTTCATTACTCAGCCACTCAGTAGTGGTTCCTCCAAGGCTTGCTTGTTTTCCAGCCGCCTCCTTTTCTCATCTTATGTGCTGACCCTTGGCAATCTTCTCTACTCCTGTGGTTTTGGCTACCACCTCCACACAGACGGAACCCACTAATGCATATCCCCAGCTTAGTCTCACCTCTGACCTCCAGGCTCGCCTATCTAGTTGCTTCCTGATATTCCTGTTTATAAGGCCACCCAGGCTTGACATATCCAAAATCACTCTCACCATCTCCCTTCCCCACTGGCCCTCTTCCAGTGTTCCCTCTCTCACTGGTGGGCACTGCCGTCCATCCAGTGCCGGGCTAGACACCCAGGAGTCCTCCCTGGTGGGCACTTCTCCCCACCAGCCCTTTTCTCAAAAGAGTGATCCCAGTTCTTGTCTGTCCCCTAAAAATTTCAAATCTGTAACTTCTTTACTTCTACCAGCTTAATTCAACCTGACATTGTGTATTTCCTGGGTCTATGCACATCCACTCTGCTCTCTTCTTTCTGCTGTATCTGTTCTTATCACGGTAGGCAGAGCGTTTTTTGTTTTCTTATGTTTTTTTTTTTTTTCCCAAAACGAATCTAACCTTATTGCCCCTGCGAATCCCCTCTGATGTCTTCTCCTTGCTGTCAGTATGAAACTGGAAATTCTTACCATGGCGTATACAGCCTCTCAAGATAAAGACCCTGCCTGTCCCCGGGGCATCCTGCATGTCTCTTTCTATGTCTGCTCTAGCCCACAGGTTTTCTTTAAGTCCTAAGTACTTTCCATGCCCTCATCCCCACGGCACCTTTGCACGGGGCCTGTCACCCATTCTGCCCCAGAGACTCTTTGGGTCTGTGCTTAATTCCTCAGCTGCTTCTGCACCAGGTCAAATCGTCTTCTCCTGTGCTCTGTCCAAACTGTGCATCTCGCCTTCATGTGTATATGTGATTATTTGATCATTACCTTTTCCCCACCTTTGGAGAGTGGGAACTATGTCTCTCTCGGCTTACTAGAAGAACAAGCACCTAATATATGTCGGGTGAATGAATACACAGATGCACAGATGAATGAACTGTTACAACACATTGTGCCACTGTATGTATTGCAATTTCTGCTTACTGCCTAGTCTTCATGTACATGTTCTATTCCCCCTGCTAGATTCCAGGGACTTGTCGCCTTCATTTTCATGCGTCCCACAGGGCCTCCTTGCCTATAGTAAATATTCTGTAAATAAAATACTAGTTGATTGAATGAAATGGCAACAGATAATTAAAGCAAAGAATTCTTCCAGTATTTAGAATCTTTTAGAAAAAAGAATTAGTATCCATTTTAGATGTCGAGATTTATGCCAGTTCTTAAGACTCCTGGCTTAAATCAATTACTGACAAGATAGCTTAGTTTTAAGGACTAAAACTGCATAGGAAAATCATTGCGTGAGTGTTGGCAGCTACTCTCTTTGCTCCTCCTGAAAATGTTTCTGCCTTATGTGATTTTCTCTCTATATTGACACTAATCTACAAAACTTCTTTTAACTATGGCAATAAAAATTTTCATGTCAGATCTATAAAGCTGCAACTTAGAAGTGAAATGATTTGTTTATTTGCATTCAAAAATTCCTTGGATAGCAATTGATTTTAATTTGATCTAATGTTTTTATAGTCCTATCTTGGTTAAATTTTTCCTTTGCTCAACTATAGATTCTGTGGCTTAAATTAATAGCTTCTTTTAAATAAAAAATGAACTACAGAAGAGAAAATACATTTTAATTTCTAGTGAAATTAATTAAAAATACATTTGGTTAAGAAATCCTAATATAACGTAACCTAAATTTTCTAGAAAGTTTTTACTTTCAACTCAGACTCTGATGTCAAAAATAACAATGGTGGAAAGTGAAATAGGAAGGAGGTCCCTGGACAGGAAGGAGTTTTAAGGGGAAGCCTTGAACCTGCCAGAAGTAATGCCTCATGTAAATGATCCTGGGCCTGTCCAGGACTCACTCAAGTGAGTCCTGTCCTCATAATGTTTGTTCTGCAGAGTGTCAATGAAAACATGGACTTGGATGACAATCACTGCAAGCCATGCAGATGCCCAGTGGAAAACTATGGCAGTGTGAGGTTGACCACGCTAATGATCTTCAAGGGTCAAAGGAAATAGAAAATAGGAATCATCTCTTTGGCCTTGCTATCATTTGAATGTGTCCCCCCAAAATTCCTGTGTTGGAAACTTGGTTGCCATTGTAGCGGTGTTGAGAAGTGGAGCCTTTGGAAGGCACTTGGGTCATGAGAGCAGAGCCTGTATCATGGAATTGGGTTAGTTATCATGGGAGTGGCTTTGCTAAAAAAGCAAGCTACCTCTTGCATACACTCTCTTGTTTTCCCGCCATGAGATAATGCAGCAAGAAGGTCCTCACCAGATGCCAGTGCCATGCTCTTGGACTTCCCAGCCTCTAGGACCACAGGCTGAATAAACTTCCTTTCTTTATAAATTACCCTATCTGTGATATTGTCATAAAACAACAGGAAAACAGACCAAGACAGGCACTGACCACTTTAGGATTTGTTTCTCTGACCTTTTCTCCATACCTTTCTCCTGCTGGGAGAGTAAAGGAGTCATTGAGCAGGAATTAGAAGCCCTCAAAGTGTTCAAGTGTCACAGTTTTGTCACTTTACCTCTGGTTACCAGTTCTTTAGACATACGCTCTAGAGGAAGTTGAGAGACATCAGATTAAAAACTTAAATGCTTATAGGTCTTAGGAAAGTGATAGCATGAGGGAGGTTGACCAAGTTTAAAGGCAAATGCTTAAGTTAGGTGGCCAGAAGGTCTGTGGTGCACTTGAGGGCACATATCTTACTACTAGCCACAACGCAGGTCCAGCTGATTATTTCCACATAGGAATGCCTGCCTAGTTTGATTCACATTTTCAGTTTCTTGGCTAAAAAACCAAAAATCTATTTTTGGGGGGGGTGCTTTTTTTCGTGTTAGGTTTTTTTTTTTTTTTTTTAAAGAGTTGGCTTTTTAAAAGCCTGCAGACCTACCGAAGCATGTCCATCCACAAATTTGGCCCACAGACTACCAGTCTTTACTCTGGGCTAGAGGATATTTATCTCTAAATGTCATGATTCAATATACTTTTCTTCATTTTCTCTCCTCAGTTTTTGTCTTTGTATCCCACTCTTCCCCTCTATAGTATTCTTGTCTCATTTATTTATATTGCATGTGCTTGTTAAATTAATAGATTACTTCAACAAAGATTTATTAGGTTCCCACCATGTGTCAGGTCAAGCTGTGAATAAACAGAGGTGACTTTAAAAACAGTCTCTTACTGTCTTACATAATTTAATAAGTTTTGATGTTAGGTAGTGGAAGCCTTTGATGTTTAAGGATCAAATACCTCATGTGAGCTTAATAAAGGCACCAAGGAACTTGGCAAGAAGTTCCAACTCATGGAATAAAGGCTGGAACCCAGGGAGGAAGATCTCACCTTTGCGTGGTTTGGATCAGAACGTGCTAGAAACTCTGTAATGTCAGGCTACAGAGAGAAAGCTAGACTTACATAATTTGAAGCCTTCCAACCACCAGGAAACTAAATAATGTTTATAGTCGTATATTAATTAGAATAAGGCTGGAGGATTCATTTATAGCTTAAACAAATACACAAAGTTTCCTATAGAAAACATGTTTTGTAAGCTTTGGGATTATCATAAGACTTACAGTTAAAAGGTTACCTTTCTAGGAGGTTAATTAAAATAGCTATAGCTCCAACAGTTAAATAGCTTACTGATTACCTCAATGCTGTAAAAATGGTAAGAAAGTACAAGTGAATGGTGGAACCCTGGTGAGACTTTGCCCCACCCCAGCTGGCTGGCCTCCAGCGGTGTTATTTGTTCAGGGTGCTCTTTGAGCCACTGAACCACATTCTTCTATAAACTTCTCTTTCTTATCTTGCTAAAGACAGTAAACTACAGTTTTCCACCTCTGGAAGTGCTTCCATTTATGACATCGTTTCCTTTTACAAGATGTTCATCACAGTGTCTTTGAGTGTGAATCTTCATTTCTTAATCCAAAAGTAGTTAAAGGGTGAGGCTTTGTCTTTTGATTCCGAGGAGAGCTCTGCTTCCTCTAGCAGGTTGGGAGGATGCCTGGTGTGGCGGTGGCCAGCACAGGTTCACAGAGCAGTGTGTGGCTGACTGCCTTGAGATCCTCCTAGGGAGGCTTTTAAGCTTTGCATTCCCAGGGCCTTGTGTCTGGAGATTTCGATTCTATAGATTTGGGATAGAACCCAAGAATCTATGTTTTCTTAAAGGTTCCCTAAGTCATTCTGTTGTGTAGTTAATTTAGGAAGTGCCAAGGGTCAGGAGGACTGATTGGGTGCAGAGGGTTGGTATATATGTACATTATTTCTTCTAAGGTGTAGGTGAGAAGTGTCCTACCCACTCACTGGAGTGTCCAGGAGTTCCTCCAAGAGCGTAGAATAAAGCCAGAGCTTTTCTGAATGTTTCTTGACCTAGAATGGACTTAATGCCTCCTGCATCTGATAAGGCAGGTGTTTTCTGTTGGAATCTTTTATCTTTTATTACTCCAAAGTGATTTTGTCAGCAGTCCTCATCTACATGATGAAGTCCTTTGATCTCGGAGTACATTTAAAGTGTCTTGTTGAAAATGTTCCCTCTTTATTCATGTTATTCTACAAGCTGCATTAAATTTTACTATTATTAGAGAATTATTATTTCATATGCTTTATTTAATTTTTCTTTAAGAATGTAGAATGCATACTTTTTTTGTAACTCTTTCAGACTTAATTTTTTTGGTCAGTTTCTTAATATTGCAATGTCCCTCTCCTTTAAAAACATTTTTTTTCTCTCTCTCCATGGTCTGAATTGTAATGACATCTAATGTTAGCTGCTGGCACGATGGTAGTCACTTTTTGCTAGCACCCTTCTGTGCGATGCTAATCTGACATTCTGAATTTTAAGCTTTATATCTCTGTGAATCCTGTCTTTTCACACAGATAAGTAGCCAAGCCTTTTATTTGAGACCTGTATTACAAAAAGGATGCAAAATCAGAAAATATCAATGAAGTAGTCATTTTAAAAAATAAGATAAAAAATTAACTCTGCTTCAAATGTAGCTGGTGATCAAAGGACCTTTCTGTATAAGTTATTTTCTCTTCTCAGTTCTTCCTTCTGTCTGTTTTTACTCCTTAGGCATTATTAGTTAAGGTTCTACTTAGTCATTGATATAATTAATGTTTAATGTCATCTTGCATGTGTGTATCTCTAACCTTGGTAGATTATTTAATGTTATTATTAAAGTATTATTAATGTGTATATCCCCAACCCTGGCAATTGGCAATGATGTTTAAAGAAAACAATCAGATGATCTGGATATACCACCTGTGTTATTTATATTTTAAAATTGGATTTATTTTGAGAGTTTTGTTCCTTTAAGTCTTTATTAGGTAACATTTAGCTCCTTTCATTTGTTAACATTTATGAAATATAGCTTTAATTCGTACCCTTTATGGTCTTGTTAAGTGTATAAATGAAACCATGAGAATGTGATGGATAAACTCTGAGGGAGAAGGGAGATAACAGTTGATGATGTACAAGATATATGAACGTTCCAGTCCTTCTACCTTGAGAGTTTTGTGGTAGGTTGAGAGTTTCCATAAAAAGTTATGCCTGGTCCTAAAATGTTTGTAGGAGGTGTTTTCAGAATTTTTAAAATCAGAGGAAGAGATATTTTAAACATATGAATTAAATGGATACTATTCATTTTCTTGTATCGTTTACAACTTGATAGTCTACTGTGTATTTTTCTGAGACTGTTTATGAAATATGATAAAGTATTCACATATTTTCATATTTACACCCTCTTAGATAATTCCATTAATATGATGAGAACTGCAAATGTTGAACTTTCAAGCATTTTTATTTTTTTCTTGATAGGAAGAAGAAAAGCATCCTGTCAGTTATCCTTCTCTCCTTAGCCACATAACCTCTTCTTTCATGAATCATCCACTCATTACAATGACAAAGAAGTTCTCACGTGACCTTGAGCTGCTGGGTGAATTCTCTCCATTACTGTCTCCTTTGCCTTGTGACATTCATCTGGTTAATCTGAGAACAATACAGTCAAAGGTACATCCCAAAATGTATCTATAAAAAAATTACTGTTCGTAGTTATACTTGGTTTAAGCGGGTAAGGAGAAGGGGGAAAAATACTTTATGCTGTACTATGCTTTGAGGAATGATTAAGAGGTCTTCACCTTTAGCCAAAAGCTTTATGCCTTTTATTTGACTGTTGCTCTACAGTTTAGAGCTTATCCTGAACTAATTTATTTGATTCTCAGAAAAGTTCTGTGCTGTGAGCAGGCTAGGCAATATCAACATAATTAGTAGCTGGGAGAACCAGGCCTAAAGATCAGCCCTACTAATTTTTCACATAATTCTCCTTGTTAGGCAGCATTTCTCAAGAGTGAAAGAACTAGAAAGCATAGTGTTTAATTATTTTTGTGTCAGAGATTTTGTATTTTCGTATCTTCCTCTTGAAAATCACCACAACTACTTAGAAGAAATACTGGAGGAAAAGCGTGGGAAAATTTTACTAGGTATGAAATTTAATTCAGCTAGACTTTACTATATAACTATTTTTAACATCAAAGAGATTGCTTTTTGAAAAGCATAGGGATTAGACATCTGACATCGTTCTTATGTGTTATAGAAGTGTTTTGATATTGTGAATTGACACACATTTAGCTGGAAATAGTAAGTGGTTATGGATTCTGTGGGAAACATCTCATGGTAAATGGCCTGAATATGAAAAGAAGAGGATGCTCATGTGCAAAGACATCATAAAAGGAGAGAAATGTTTAAGAACAAAGAACTAAAGCAAACCAAGTGAAGTGAGACCAAACGCCTATAATTAGGACATTTAGGGATTTACAACCTTTATATACAAGATGTAGAGGAGAAAAATATAATTTCACTTCTTTTCCTTATAGGTTCTATAGTTGAGGTATTCCTGAAAACAAAAGTCAGATTAACAAGAGAAGAGCCAACAGTAGCGTATTAATGCATGTTGTACCCATCATGTGGGAGAGGCCTCAGTTCAAAAGTATTACTCCCTCAAGGCAGTGGATTAGGGGCCTTGCTTAAATAATATTTTAACAAAGAGCCATATATCCTATAGAGACAAGATAAGGAAGAGAGCATCTTCAGGCTTCCAAAAGGCAGGAAAATATGGGAAGGTAAATTTATGGGAAGCGTAAAGTCTGCTGCCATGTCTTCTGGCTTTGGTGTCTCTGAGCTGATAAGCCTTGTTAAGGGGCCTATCCTTAGGCAAGAAGAGGCAGAGAGCAGGGGAAAAAGACCTTTTGTCTTTGTGTATTGCTGTCCTGCCATCAAGCAAGCAGAGGAAGGGGGAAAAGTATCCCCCTGTGTTTTTAGCCTTCTTCAGAGCTCAACAATCCTCAGTACTTTAGAGAGGAATATTTTGATTTCATTCAAAGGTAAGAAACTTACACCGGGCTATGCAGGAAAAAATATAGATGGCTTGCGATAATGAATACAAGCAAATGGCAAAGGCGAGAGGCCTGTGTCTATATCTCTGTGTGTTGAAAGGTTTTTGTTTGTTTTTTATCATGTGAGTGAACTTCCAGGATTTATTTCATCCCCACTACATGCCTATTACTGCTGTGGGCATGAGGGAGATAGTCCTGAACAAAACAGATAAAAGCCCCTGCCCTTCTGGGGCTTAGATTCTAGTGGGAGGGGAAAAATAATTAAGGAAGAAAGAGTAAGAGAAATACACGTAATAAGCGTTGTAATAAGCGTTAAGGAAGAGAAGAAGAGGGAAGGGTGATTCTGAGAAGATGGTGCAAGTTTGATTAGGGCAGTTGGAGAGCGCTGTAGGCACAGAGCAAGTTCAAGGTCCTGGGGCAGGAGAGGTGGTCAGAATGCTGTTCCGAGGGAGGTGGGCTTTCCCTTTATTCATTGCTGTGTCCCCTGCCTGGAACAGTACCTGCACAGGAAAGGAACTCAAACACTATTTGGTGAATGAGTGAATGGGATAGAGATGTTTTCTGGGATCTTGGTGGTATCTTTTGTGGATTTACTTTCTGGTCCATGGGATGAGCAGACTGGGAGTAGATAGCCTTCTCGTGGTATCCTGTGGTCCATTCATGAGCTCAGGGAGAATAAAAGGATAAAACAGGGGCCCCCAAAGACTCTGGGCCTCAGGTATTAGATGGTAGAGGACATTAGCAACCTAAAAAACCCAGGGGCTTCTGGGAGGACAGGGGCCATTGTCCATTCCTTAACCCCGCTTCCAGATGGCTCCTCCCCCATAGTTGCTCACAATATGATTGTTTTCTGGAAGCTACTGGAGCTGACTGGAGTCAGCAAGTGTAGAGTGTGACCTTCTGTAATCCAAGGCTGGCACTTGTTTTTCATGTCACCTCTCTTTAGTGGCAACTTACTTCCTTACATCCTTCCTGCTAGTGGCCATCTTCCTGTAATACAAGTATAATCACTTCTCAGCTTAAAAATCCCATTGCCCACCAGATTGGTTCAGACCCTGAGCATTCAGGCCCTCTGCAGTGCGGCCTCCTTGCAACTGCTTCCCGGTGCTCCTCTCACCTTTGGACAGGTGGGCCACTGTCACGACCCTGCAGGCTGGGTGACGGCCGACTCAGCCACCCTGTGTAAATAAACTGGGGCTAGTGTCACGCATGCCTGCGTCAGGGTCTTCCATGAGAAACAGGTGAAATAGTGTTGGGAAAGTCTTTTGAAAGTGGTAACTCAGGGCAACATGCTGTCGTTATCCTGATGATGCTCACTGTATATGCCAGCTTGGTGCCAGCTGGGGTTTTGGCAGAGAGAATAGAGAGCAGTTTAACATACAGATTTGGCCAGGAGGGATAAAACAGAACTGCAGTGCTAGTGCCTGTTGATAACTGCCACGCTGGCTGGCGCATCAGCAGAACTGAACACGCGGGGCTGTTGTGTATATTATCCTATCAGTTGGTGCCAGATCCTGTGTTAGCCTGTGACTCTCAGCACATATCTATATAAAAGCCCACTAGTAATCCAAGGGGATTCATCGGTTCATTCAAAACCACTTCTTCAAAGAATTGCTCTCTGTCCGCTAACCTCTGATAATAGAAGATAATCATCGAAGGGAGCCGGGGCCGATGTGGGTATTGATTCAAAGAAAGCTGTTACTTAAAAGGTGTCCAGTGCAATTCCATGGTTGTACTAAAAGAAAGACAACCATGACCCAGTGCGTAAATGCAGAAGGCAGACCTAAGCCTTTGGGATTGTGTTCCTGTTTTTATGTGCTGGCGGCTTCCAGCATGCAACAATGGATTGTTTGGAGATTGCAACTCATGCTTCCCCTTGAAACAGTGTTAACACAGAGACCAAGGGTTCCAAGCAAGAGCAGAGTCTGCGTTGGCCTGTGTCTAGGTAGGCATTTTCCTAATCACCACAGGATTTTTGTTGAGAAATGCATCTGAGCACCACCTTTGCATGACAAAGGCACATGTGTCTTGATTCTAAACCTCAGTTGGTCTCCCGGACTCCTCGTAGGAGGAGGGGTTTGGGGCTCAGGAGTAGTGAGGGGGGCGAGGTGTGGGCTGGAGGAGTGATAACCCACTGAGGTGGGTCAGTGGTGGTCCCAGCTACCCATCTTCACTGTGTCCACATCATGCAAGCGAGATTTTAAAAACAGAGACTTTCCCGAATTTCCCCATTTCTGAGATCCTGATTCTCAAGGGCTAGGGAGTAGAGCCTAGGAATTAATAATTTTTTAAAAACTCTTCTCATGAAATTGGTGACATTTCTAAATTATCTCCATTTCCTAAATTGGGAAGGTGAGGACAAGGGAATAAATCATAAAAATAAAACTACCCACAGGTAGATGGCAGAATCAGACCCAGGGCCAGGGCTTCTGAGTCCTGTGTGTGGCCTCAGAGGGTAGCATTTGACTTTTTAAGGTTACTAAGTCCCTGAAAGTCTAATTTTTCAGCAATTGTTTTGTATCAGTGGGCGAGTGTATGTTTTTATGTAGATATATGTTGCTTTTCTACATTATGCCAGTTTTCGGAAAGGGATTATATGCCCTATATGGGTAATCAGATGCTGCCTTGCCCGTTCCAGCCGCTATCTGGGAATTTACTGTTCCCCTGCTGTAGGCCTGTCCCCCGACTCTCTTCTCTTGATCACTCTCTTTCCCTACGCTATCAAGAGCTTGAGATGGTACAAAGAAGCTTCTATAAAAGTTTGAAAACTGGGGCACAGAAGCACCACTCAAGTACACTCAGTGGGAAAGCCATGTCGTCGGGAAAGGGTAATTGTTACTTTTTAGGGGAGAGAGGACGCTGGGGGAATCTCACAGGAGGAGACCCCTCCTGGGTCAGGGTTCTGAGCCTGGAGCCTCAGGGTCATCTGGAAGAGAGAGACAAAGAGGAGCCTTAATTAAGCCTTCCCGCTAGCCTTCATGGAGCCATTCTGCCTTGAAAAAGTGATATGTCATTCATTTTTCTCCTTTTTTCAGATTACTTCCGCAGCTTTTATATTCAGATATTTTCATTTAATTTGCATGTATATAACACATTTAACTCTTTTCTTTTCTCTGGGGTTCATTTTGATTTGTGTTTAATGGTTTCTTGCAAATAGTTAACCAGTCATTTCAACATCAGCCCCACTTACAGAGTAAGATTTTCTCTCCTTATTTGTTTATGCCGCCCCTTCTTTTCTTATACAAGGCGGTTTAAGGTTTTGCTTTATTTTGCCTTTCTTATCAGAATTGATTGGTGCTTTATTGATCTCCCAAGCTTCTGGAAAGGTGAAAATTGTAGGAAAAAAATTTCCTTTGTTGTACATATCTAAAAACAACATTCACCTCGCCTTTCTTTCTGTCATCTTGTTGATCAAAACAGGATAGTTATTATTGGACATTTTAATGAGTGCCTTGGAAAATGAATTTCTACTAGTTATTTCCTGTCTCTGGACTTACAATGAAGTGTGCAATTTTCTAACCTTTCTAGCTGCCAGAATGCATGTAAGTAGGCATTTTCAAAGAGTTTGAGTGGATTGGCATTTTCCTACCAAGTGTGTAGCTGTGCCTTAAGCCATGT